TCTGCTCAGCATGCCAGCCCTGCTGTCCCATTTCACAGAGCAGGAAGCTGGGCACTCAGAGATGACGAATAGATGTCTTCTCCGGGGTCACACATTCAGTAGGTAGCCAGTGTGGGATTCAAACCCAGTGTTGCTGGACCCCGAACGCAGCCTGCCCTATCCGGCTCCTGTCTTAGAAGCAGGAACTTTCAGTCCAGGGGACGACCAGGCAGCTTCCAGAGACTGCGTGCCCGTCCCGGAGCTGCAGGAGCTGCAGCAGGGTGAGCTCCTGTCCTGGAGACTATAGAGGCAGTCTCTGCCCGAGGTGGCAGGCAGGGAACAGGAGTCCAGCAAGACAGCTTCGGGTCTGTGACTGCGGATCTGAAGTCTGTGATGGTGCCAAGGCCGGGGAGGTGGCTCCCGCTCAGGTGCTGTCCTCACTCGGAGGTCAGGCTCCAGGTTCAGTTTGGGGACCAGGGGGAAGTGCTCCAAACCTGCAGGGTCTCCGCAGTGGGGGTGGTGTCTGCGCATCCTGGCCGAGGGTGTGGTTTGGGGCAGGAGCAGCAGCACTTCCTGTGTAGGGCCAGGGCGGGTGGCTCCAGCCATGCTCCCTGACTCCGTGCGCCCCAGCTGCAAACACACTCTTGCCCCTGTTTTCTCTGCGCACAGAAGGCTGTGGGGTGGGCGGGACAGAGATGAAGACATGACAATCAGCATGAGACAGAGAGGAGCAGAGCCTTGGGGAAATGGGAACACTGGTGCTCTGCAAGGATGGAGGGTCCCATCTTCCCGGAGGGTGGGGACAAGAATGGGAGGAGGTGAGGCTGGGGGTGTGGTGTGGAATGGCCATAGCCTCTGGGATTCTGGAAGCATCCTACCCTGTCCACAGCCAGGGCCCCTCCCTCCCCAGCTACTCTCAGCCTCCACCTTGTGCTGCACCTGTCCGCTTGACCTCTGCCCTGCTCCCAGGCGGCTGCCAGGCTCTGGAAGGAAGGAGGCTGAGGCGTCACAGGAGCTCCTTCCCTTCGTTCCTCGGGGTCCCCAGGCTCAGCCTGAGGAAATGTCTGGGGTTGGAGATTGGTCTTGTCCACTGCTAGCCCTGAAGCCTCCTTGCGTGACAGCTACCTTCACACGTCCTGTTCTACCAGCTCTGAGCACTACCTGGTGCCCCACAGGATGTGGGCTCAGGGCATGCGGTCTCCCCGAGCTGAGTCAGGCCAGGCTGGCTTGTCACTGTGAGGAGCAGCTCAGGCCTCGCCTGCTGGCCCTGACAAGGACCAGCAGAGCCATTGGGAGCCTTTGTCAGGGAGCTGCTTCCCAGCCTCCACTTCCTCCTGCCAGATCCCTGCCTTCCCCTCCCCCCGCTTCCAGCCCCTGTCATTCTGTTTTTCCTCTGATTGTTCTTAGAATGACCCTGTCTCCCTCCCCACTATGTTGGGGCCTCTTCATCCCCATCTACAGGCTCCCTGTGGCCAAGGGGCCCCTGGCTTCCAGCTCCCAGGACAGTTATCCCTAGGTGGCCCCCCACCCCAGCTCATGCCGAGTTCTGATAATGGGGCTCCTAGTTCCTCATTGCTCAGGCCCTGCTTCCATCCCCGCCATGCTCCGGGGGCCTCACCCATCTACCAGCTATAACCGCATCACCCTGGCTGGTTCCCAGGGGAGGGGCGGCCCCTCATTCCTGCCCCACCCTCGGGATCCAGCCAAGTGAGGACAGTGACCCTTAGTGTACAAGACCCCTGTGTGCCGTGGGTCCTCCTGACATCTGTGGTCGCCCTGGCCACCTGTCAGCATCCCCTGGTCCTACAGCATACCTCATCACAGGCCATCTCCCAACACCTGCGGCACTAACCCCGTCCCTGCAGCCAGCCCCCTGCTCCCACCAGCTAGTGAGCTCTGGGCTGCTTGCCTGGGACAGAACCCGTCGTAGGCCGAGGCTCAGCCCTCTCCCCGGCCCCTCTGACAACCTTTCTACCAGTCAGAGGTGCAGCGACCTTGTTCCACAGAGGTAGAGTGATCTCTGGACAGACGGACACTCACCACTACTGGCTCAGGGTCCACAGTGGACCAAGGCTCCTCTGTGGGGTGGGGTGGTAAGCCCCCAGTGAAATCTCTCCTGGATGGGCATACTCATTCAGGGGTAGGGGAAAGGGTGTTTTCTCACCTTCTGTTTCATTATCAAATCTTAAGTTCCCACTCACCCTGGGAATAGGAAGACCACCCAGCTCTTCAAGGCTCTTGCAGTACAGCAGGGAGACCGACACACAGACAGTTACAGAACTGCAGGGCGTGTGCTGGAACTGACGTGGGTGCAAGTGTGATGGGAATCTCCTTGTGGGGACAGGGGAGGCCTCAGGGAGGAGGAGGGTTTGCCCGTGGACTAAGTTGCTTTCTGGATGGTGGGTCTGGCTTGTGCAAAGGCACCGGGCTTGAAAGAGCCTGCTTGAGGAACTGGGTGAGTCGGTGTGTGGCGTGTAAAGTGTGTGTTTGGGGCAGAGGTGGGTTCTGGGGGCTCAGGACAGTGGGACTCTTGAGCTGGAGCATGACATCACCAAATTAGGACCAGTCTTTGGAGATCCAGATGTTTAAGTTGGCCTGGGACCTGCCTGCTGCTCTGCAGGAAATGGGTGCAAATGAATTCTTATTCGTGAGCAAATAAGAATTGGAGGTAGCGCCATGCTGGTGTGGCTCAGTGTTTGAGCATCGACCAATGAACCAAGAGGTCACCAGTTCGATTCCCGGTCAGAGCACATGCCCAGGTTGTGGGCCCGATCCCCAGGGGGGAACGTGCAAGAGGCAGTTGATTGATGTTCTCTCTCATTGATGTTTCTATCTCTCTCTCTCTCCCTCTCCCTTCTTCTCTCTCTAAGATCAATAAAGAAAAAAAAAAGAAGAAGAATTGGAGGTAGCAAGAGGGATTCAGAGAAGGACTTGGGGAGGGTGGATGGGGCCCAGCCAGGGTCTGGGTGGTGGCTCAGATGTGCCGGTGTGGGCCAGTCCCTCTGGAGCCAGGGCCCAGACACAGAAAGCAGGACTGCAGCCGGGCCCTTCTCTGCTCCCCAGACTGTCCCAGCCATCCTCTGGCCGGTGGCTGCCAGGGTTCCACTACTCCAGAAAGGCACTTGGCCGGCCTGCTCCTGGCCAGCGTTTCTCCATTCCTGAGCGAGGCTGGGCATTGCTGGGCCTGGAACTGGGGCTCATGCCATTCTGTGTCTGGGTGGGGCAGACACCAGTGGGCTACTCTCTGAGAGGCCACCCCCTCACCTGCTGGAAAGATGGCTTCCTCAGGTGCGGTCATCTTCACATCTCCTTAATGGACAAAGCGGAGGAGGCTGCTCTGTCTCCCAGGCTTGAGCCCTCCTGCCCAGGGCTAGGTCTGAAGTGCTCCTCATCATGACTTGTCCGGGTTTGAGGGCCTTTCCTGCATGCTGGGGAGAGGAGGGCAGACTTGCAGATCCGAGGAGGGGGCACCGACTGCTTGCCTGTTTGGAGCACTTGACTTAAATGATCTTACTGAATTCTCACGTCAACCCCATGGATGAGTACTGTTATTGTCCTCATTTCACAGAGGGGGAAACTGAGGCACAGAAAGGTTACATCAGCTTGCAGTGCCCGAGGTTATACAGCTAGTAAGTGGTGGGCAGGGAGTCGGGTTCCAGACACGACACAGGACTGCTCCACTGTGGTGCCTCTTGGTGGCGCGGGACGGAGGTCTCCTGGCGGTGAGTGAACTCGCCCGCCTCTCCTTCCCGTCCTAAACACCAAGGGAGTGGAGGCAGGCTCAGTCCCTGTCCTTGAGGACCCAAGGGGACGGCATGGTCCCGTGAGCAGATCACAGTGTGCAGAATTCGAGTTTAAAGACGGGTACGATGATGCTGTGGGAGCACCGAGGAGGGGGCGTGGCGGCAGGGGCAACGTTCAGGAAGGCTTCTCAGAGGAGGTGACCTTTGAGCTTCCTTTAAAGGATGGGAATGTTAGGTGAGCAAACCCAGGGGGCGGTGGCCCTTCCAGAGTGAGGGAACTGGTAGGGGATATGAAGCTGGGGAGGTGGGGTAGGGAGCACCCCCAGAGGGAACCCCTGCTTGGCTAGGCAGTAAGGAGCCATCAGGAGAGTGAACTGGGGTTGGAGCTGGAGCTGCAGGGCTGGCTGGCGTGGGGAGGGGAGCTGCAAGGAGCCCCACAAGCCAGAGATTGCCCAGCTGCTTCAAAGCCACCAGCCCATCAAGGGAGGGTGGTCTTGGGTCTCTCCTGCACAGACTTTCCCTCAAGGGCCCTTGGTCTGTTCTGATGACCTCAGCAGTTTCCCAGAGAGCAGGATGTCCAAGCTTGTTGTGCTTCTGAGATAAGGGGGCGGATGAAAGCAGGGATAAACCTGAAGGCCCAGCGGAAGCGTCTGCAGACCTCTCAGCCGGCCCTTCGGGAAGCCGGTGGGGGGTCAGCAGCCCCCACCTTCCCCATCCCCACCCCTACAGGAGACAGAGGAGTGGCCTGGCCCAGCCTTGAGGGACCAGTGCCTGGTGGGGATGACAGACACTGCATTTCCTCAAGTACAGTGTGTGTGTGTGGAGGGGGAGGCGGGAGGGGTCTTTAATCCTCACTAATTTGCTGTGTGACTTAGGCAAGTTGCTTTGCCTCTCTGGGTCTCGGTGTTTACATAAGTAGTGCAGGGTCGAAGTGGAGAGGAATAACCTGCTCTGTAGGCCTGTGTGAGGAGGGAAAGAAGTGAAGGCTCACCATACCAGTGGCACGGCTCTGGGCAATGTGGCCTGTGCTCCTGGCGCCATTGCCAGACGGAGACCAGTGCCCCCTGGCAAGGCCCCCGGCTGCAGCTACAAAGGCCAGCTCTGGGCTGGAGCCTAACCTGCTCCTCGCTCCCGACCTTCTCGGGCCTCAGGCTCCTGACACTGGACAGGACACGTCCCCTCTCTGAGCCTCAGATCCCTATCAGTGTGAAGAAGGCACTAACCCCTGCCTGGTGGGGGGTGACCCCACTTGACCCCTTTTCTGCTCTGTTCCTCCAGTGGGAACGCCTCTGGTTCCTGCTCCTCACCATCACCTTCGGCCTCACGCTCACCTGGCTGTACTTCTGGTGGGAAGTCCACAATGACTACGATGAATTCAACTGGTGAGTGCGGTGGGGGCAGGGCCTGGGTCCCGGGCACCCAGTGGCTGAGGCTGGGTGGAGGTGGGGCCGTGGTTGGAGGGTGAGCCTCTCTCCCAGGCTGGCCCTCAGACCTCTGCCACCAGCTGTGTGGCTTGGGGGAGGGTCCTCTGGAAAGACAAAGCCCAGCAGGAACTGCAGTCAGCGGGGTGACCAGGACCGCTTTCCGGGTGCTCTGTGGGAAAGTAGGCATGGAAGGTTGGGGCAGGGCTCAGCTGGGGGCTGGGGCCTCTGGCCCCCTCTGCAGACAAGAACGCCGAGGCCTGGAGATACACTGGCCTCAGCAGAGGAGGTGGCCCCAGATCCCAGGCCTCTTAACTCCCTGAGCAGGGCCTTGGGCAGGGCTGGAGATGCCATGGTTCTGGGACAGCTCAGGCTCTTTGTGACCACCAGCCTCAGGTCCAAGGGCAGGGCCGTCTGAGTGCTGTACCTGGGTATAGGAGGGCACCCGTTTCTTCCTCACCCCCACCCGCATCGCCTGTCTTTGTCAAAGAGAGGAGGGGAGGGACCCTGGGTTCTGGTGGGAACTCCTTCACTGACGAGTGTAGGTACTAAGGCCCAAGTTCACACAATCATTTGGGGGCAGAGTTTGGCTTGAAAGCCAGACCTCCTCGCCCCATTCAGTGCTGTGTCTTCCTTTTGGTCAGAAGTTCAGCTCAGTGTGCCTGTGAGCAAGTCTCTGGTCCTTTCTGAGCCTCAGTGTCTTCTTCTGTAAAATGGGATAACTCTGACTTCATCGGGTCTCTCTGAGGGTGAAATGAGATGACGCTCTGGAAAGGGCTCGGAGCTCCGCCTGAGCCTGAAGGCCCTTCCCGGGAGGCCCCTTCTCCAGCGGGAAGGAGGCGCGATGTTGGGGCTCCGGGCTTCAGGTGGGCCGTGGTCCTGGGGTTCCGGGAGGATCCTGAGATTCTGTTCATGGAGTTGGGCATCCACTCCCCTCTGCATGGCCCTGGGCCGCGCCTGTTATTAATGAACACAGTAAGGAGGGCTGCTGTCCTGCCGCAGCCTGGCGAGATGAGCCTCCGCCCCAGCTGAGTCCCAGAGGCGCCTCTGGCCTTTATTAAATGCCATCAATCAATTACTGATCCTTGTAGGTATCCACAGCGCAGGCACTGTGGTGGCGATACAGGGACATTCCTCTCTGGCCGACTGCAGACCTTGGACAGTCCTGCTGGACCAGGGGTTGACCACCTGGAAAACCACTGGGTCGGGGAAACGAAGGCCCCAAGGGGCAGGACTCACCCATGGCCACACAACCAGTTAGTACCAAAAAGACACATTGAGGACAGTCTGAGAGACAGACTCAGAGAGGTTAAGTAGCCTTTCTAAAGTCACACAGTGAAATGCAGCTAGCTCCAGGACAGCAGCTTGAGCCTGTGTTATGTTGTCTACAGAGCTACCCGTCTTCCCAGAGAGCAAGTCCCCAGTCACTGGGTGGCTCCGGCCGAGGATGGCTGCCTGCCCTGCCGGGGAGGCTGCCTGGGGCTGAGGGATGGCCTGAACACTGCTTGTCACCTCGGTTTCTTGAAGTCAGTCCTGGGATTCAGGAGAGCCTGGCTCAGCCCTCGCTGTCTCGAGAGTCTCTGGAGAGGGTATGAGACCTAGGTGGTCAGCGCTGGAGGACCGGAGCCAGGGAGGGCCCATCGGGGCTGTGCTGCCCAAGAGGGCCGCCTGACAAGGGAGAGCCAAGTGGAGCCAGCACACTTCTCAGGAGCGGTTACCAGGAGCAGGCCCACCCTCTCTGGGCCTCAGTTTCCCCAGCTGTACAGTAGCGTGCAAGCAGTGATCTTCCAGGCAGTAGATTTTCCTCTGGAATCTGAGGGTAAGGGCAGGGGACAGGCACCTTAAAAAGTTTACTCCCGCCCTGGCTGGTTTGGCTCAGCGGTTAGAGCGTCGGCCTGCAGCCCAGAGAGACCTGGGTTTGGTTCCCGCTAAGGGCACGTACCTCGGTTGCAGTTTGTCCCCGGCCCTGGTTGGGTCGTGCAGGTGGCAGGCACTCGATGTGTCCCTTTCACATCGATGTTTCTCTCTCTCTCTCCTCCCACTCTATCTGAACAAAATATTGAAAAATGTCCTCAGGTGAGGATAAAAAAGTTTATTCCCGTTAGCCCTGTCACTCTGTCTGTAGGAGTCTATCCTAAGTGAGTAATTGCTAGTGCAGAAAGATGCGAGCAGAATTTTCCTTTCTGTGTTAATTTATAATAGCGAAGAATTGGAAATGATTAGTTGCCATTAGCAGGAGGTTGGCTACATATGGTGTGCTAATTCAACAGGGGACCACATGGCGGTGGAAATCACATTTCCTCGGGACCTCTGCTGACCGCAGCAAATGCCTATGTTAATGAGAAGAGAATCGATTACTTACCACATTCGTCCTCAGGAAACCCTATGAAGGGCATTTGATCAATTCTAAGACCTCTTATTTTTACATTTTAACACTGAAATGAGCGTCACAATTGATGGCATTTTGGGATCAGTGAAGCCGGTCGCCTCCAGAGGAACCTACACGCCAGAAAGAGGCAGAGTGAATCCGAGTGCACCTCCTCGCTCCAAAGCCCAACTCGGACCACTGTGCTGTGTGCAGCGGGCTCTGCTGTTTATACAAATATATAGCATCAGGGTTGACCCACTGGGAGAAATGTTGGCCCAGTTTGGGAAATGGTTATTTCTGGACAGAATTGCGGGGATTGTTTTCTTTTCTATGCTCTTGACATGCCAGGTGTCCACCATGAACCCTCGACAGGCCTGGCTGCCATCAGGGAAAGTCACATCATTACAGAGTGGGCAAGGCCTGATCCCTGAGCCTGGCCAGGCCGAGGGAGCGTCCCGGGTCCTGGTGGAGGTCTGACCCCGGCCCCTTCTCCTCCTGCAGGTACCTCTACAACCGCATGGGCTACTGGAGTGACTGGTCCATGCCCATCCTCATGATCACAGCCACCGCCTTCACTTACATTGCGGGCCTCCTGGTACGTGGGGCTGAGGGAGGTCTACAGAGGAAGCTGGCTTTTCCCGTCTCTCGGGCTGCTGCACCCCGGTGGCTTGGTTCTTTCAAGGTGGGAGGCCCCCTTGCTTTCGCCCACCCTGGAGTGTCCCCGACCTGGTGAGAGCATCCGCTCCCAGGAGCCGCTGCAGACTCTCTCTCCCAGGAACGTCAGCTGCGGGTCCTGCTCCCTGTACTCTGTCCCTCAGACTGGGCGTCCCTCTGTTGGACTAGGGGCTCCTTGGGACAAGGTTCAAATGTACCTCAGCCTCATGGGGCCAGGGACTCCTACAGCGTGAATTGAGCAGTCCAAGAGCAGCCAGACCAGTGACCTCTTGAGGGAGAAATCCTAGAGGAGGAGGAGCTGGAGGCCTGGAATACTTGGGGAGGAGGCCAGGCTTGGGCTGAGCTGGGCTGGGCATTCCCGTCGCCTAGTGGGAGGCTTTGTTGACTTTTCTGAGCCAGGCCCAGAGCCGCAGTGGGGAGAAGGGTGTCTGGGGAGTTGATGGAAACCTTTGAGTCACACCTGGGGCCTGACTGTCGCCCTGTGGGCCCCTCTTCAGGTGCTGGCACTGTGTCACATCGCCGTGGGGCAGCAGATGAACCTGCACTGGCTGCACAAGGTAAGGGCGCCCCCAAGAGGTCAGACAGAGAGGAGGCCGGAGGCCCCAGCAGCAGGGAAGAGCCAGGCCCATCACCCCCGGTCTGCGCGCTCGCCTTGTGCCCAGCGCTGTGCTCACAGCCTGGCCTGTGCTCACTCATTCAACCCTCACAGGAGCCCTATGATGTAGGTACCACTATCCTGTTTTGCTGCTGAAAAAAACAGAGGTACAAAGAGGTTTAGTCATTTGCCCAAGGTCTCCCACCTAATAAGTGGAGGATCCAGGGTCCTAACCCTGGTGCCCTGCAATTAACCAGCACAGGTCCCAGCTGCAGCCCTCTGCCTGAGCCTCAGCCTCTCACTACTCAGTGAGCTCGTCCTAAACCGATCCAGTCCTGTTGTTCGCAGCTTAAAGCCTTTTCCACCACGCCCATTGCTCCCAGGGTGATCCAAACTCCCCGACCCAGCACCGAGGCCCTGCATGACTTGGCCCCTGCAGATGTCTCCCAGCTGCTGTCATGGTCGGTCACCCCCAGCTCTGCCCCATGAGACATCTCAGGCCCTGTCAGCATGTCCACCTCATCTCTTACTTCTTCGCTCTTGGTTCCCTTTCTCTCTCTTTTGGACCCTCCCTTGGTTCTCTGCCACCTGCTTGGGCTCCCCCAGCCCCGGCAGGACCCCCCACCACAGTCCTGAGCATCGCTGTTGTCCATTTCCACCTGGCTCTCCGAGTCTGGGAGAGCCCTGCCCAGTCTGGGAGCTTCTTGCAGGCCCGAATTGGCTGTGCCTAGCTCGGTGTCCCTAGTGCCCCGCGTGGGCTGGGCCCACGCAAGGAGGCTTCTTAGATTCAGAACCTCAGCCCTCTTGCTGTTCCTTGTACGCGTGGTGCTGAATGTATGTGCCTGATGCCTGCTCTTCTTGAGGCCCCTGTGGGCACAGTGGTGGCACGGAACTGACCAAGAGAGAGCCCTTCCCTCCCAGGAACACCTGGCCCTGGAAGGAGGGCCAGGCTGTCTCTTTGATTCCCAGAGCCTGGCTCAGAGCAGGCATGCCATTCAGGAAGGGGCAGAGATGTCCAGAAATAACCATGAACCCATGAGATGGGTCCAGAGTGAGTGAGGGGAGGGCTTTGTTCCAGCGAGAAGGGGGACAGGGAGCAGGAACTGGAAGGAGACGCAGCAAGCTCGAGTGGGGCTGCGTGGTGGGAGGTGTGTGGGCACCCACAGGGCGTGGAGGTCAGGAGCTGGGGAGTCAAGGGTGAAGAACAGCCAGCAGCCCAGGTGTTCCACCTTCCTCCCACTTGTCACTCGATCCGGAGGTCTCCTCTGGGCTTGTGAAGTCCCCTCTGTGAGGCACTTTTATCTCCCGGCTGCAAAGTTGATACTTAAAAGAACTGCACCAGATGGCACCTGGGTGGCCACCTCCTGTAGGTCATGCCTGGTTCTCAGCAGGTCCCGAGGCCTCCGGAGGCACTGAGCCAGCAGGGTGGCCGATCACTGCAGGGAGTCTTCCTGGGAGGGGAGTCAGATCCCTTCATCTGCACTGTGCCAGCTCCGGTGCCAGCCCTGCTTTCCTGTCCCCTCTGCCCCTCCCGCAGCATGCCCCTTCCTCTCAGCGCGAGGAAGGTCCTTCAGGCAGAGCTGATAACTAGCTGGGCCCCTTGGCCAGGAGGGATGCAGCTGCCTGGGGCTCGCAGTCGTCCAGTAGGGGCTGGACTCTCCTGTTCTGTTTCCATTGCCATTCAGCCCCTGCTCCTGTCCCGGGCCTAACCCTGGGTCCCAAGGTCTCCAGCAAGCCCCCTGCTGACGGGCCTGATGACATCCCAGTTGCTTTTCATTCGTGGCCGGGACCATGTGGCAGTGACTGGGTAAAGAGTGTGTACTTTTGTAATTGTGATCATTCTGGTCGAATCGTCTCTGCCAAGCGCCACCAGTCATGCGCCCTCGGCAGTCTATGGTTGTGCTCATCAAGTCACCCTGGCCCACAGGTGCTCGAAGGTGTGCCAGTCGATGGAAACAGTCCCTCAGCGTCGTCTCCATCTGCATTTCCCTGACGATGAGTGGGATGCAGCATCTTTCATGCGTCGGAGGCATTTGCCGTAAACTACCTCTTCACATCTTTCGCCCTTTTTGCTACAGGGTTTGCTTTCTGCTTACCGATTTGCAGGAGCTCTTTATAGATTCAGGAAACTGGCCCTTTGGCTGACGAACTGCAAAATCCCTCCTAGTGTGTCACTGTGCCTTTGATGTCGTCGTATTTTTGCGGTGGCAACTTGTTTATTCGTAAGGAGTCAGTCTGTCGTCTCTTTCTATGGCTCCCGGCTTTTGTGTGAAGAGTCTCTCCCATTCCGAGATTATAAAAAATCTCTCCCATTCCGAGATTATAAAAAATGTCTCTGTGGTATTATCTGATAATTATGTGTGTCCACTTTGTTAACATTGAAATCTTTTTGGAAATTACTTTCAGGTGTAGTATGATCTTACTCTGTTCTTAGACGGCTTCCCGCTGTCCCTGACTATCTATTGCGTAATCTGCCGTCCCTGCCAACAGGCGACGCCACTGTTATCATGTGCTATTTTCTTAAATCTATTTAGATCTGTTTCTGAGCTTTTTATTTACTTTCATTGATCTCTCTGGTCTTATACCAGTATCATACTGCTGTAAATACTGCACTTTTATACTATGCTTTCATCAAGATCTTTATTTTGAGAGCCGCCCCACGCCGAGGGGCGTCGCGGAGGGCTGGAGGCAGAGGTGCCCAGCACAGCCAGGCCCTCTGACCACCGTTCACTGGGCACTCACTCTGTGGCAGGCACTTTCCACACAGTGTTTCATTTACTCATAAAAATAATCCTGTGTGTCTGATATTATGCCCACTTTTAAAAATTATACCGCTGACTTTCAGGAAGCATTTACTATTTTGGTGCTAAGCACACCACCTGGACTTCCTCATCTATCTCCCTCAATCCCACAAGGGCAGGCGCCCCCTCTCCCCATCTCACGGCGCAGGAAGCGTGCTTTGAGAGGGTAACCTCCCCACCAGGCAGCAGGGACAGGATTTGACTGGTGGATAGACTCAAGTGTGTCCCTGAGCCCTGGCCAACCATCCGCCACAGAACCCAGATTCCAGGCACCCCAAGAGGCCAACCCGTGGCATCTTTGCAAGGCTGGGTTCCAGCTCCTCTTGGATCCCAGGACCCAGGCAAGGCTCACTGAACACATGGATGTCCCTCTGGGATCCATATCCGTCCACTGTGATCACACACCAGTCTCACCAGCACGTCCTCAGAGGACCGTGGGCTGCTCTGGGCCTTCTGGCTGGGGACTTTCCTTTCCAGCCTGATTTGAAGAGTGGTGGCCACAGTGCTGGGATGCATGTGGTTTAAGGACACGTGTGGGGAGAAACCCCACAGACACGGAACACAGCAGCAGTGTTGCAGAGCAGAGTTGTGCTGCCACAGCATCTGCAAAGCTCGTGATAAAGTCTTAATTGCATTAGGATTATGGGGAATTTGTTTTAATGTAAGTACTTCCACTAGCAATTAAATACAACAAGAAGATGCTCTCAGAAATGGCCCTTCAGAGACGCTTGCTCTGCCCAGGGCCTGCCTGGCGGGGCAGCAGGGGGCAGGGCGCGTGTGCATTGAAGGGGGGAGTCTCAGGGAGGTTAGGACACGGCTGGGCCCTCCCGCCACTGCAGCAGGACCTCTGAGACAGGCAGAATGGGGTTTGGGTCCAGATCCCCCCCTCTCAAAGCCACATGGCCAAGCAAACCCTTATGGTCGCTGAGTTCAGTTTGTGTATAAAATGAAGATGATACACACCTGGGATGTCAGGAGAATAAACATGAGGAAAACCACAATGCCTCCCACAGACCCAGGCACTCACGGGTTCTCCCTGGGCCTGTGTTTCCCCACTTCCCATGTTCCCTGGGCAGGCATCCAGTCTGAAAAGGCCCCTACCCATCTCGTCTCTTACTGGAACACTGGTTCCCAGATGACGGCCTGGATGACGCACCTGTGAAGGGAAACTCAGCCCAGGCCAGAGGGAACCTTCCCGGCCTGGCCGGAACCCAGACGGAAGGGCCGGCCCTGCCTCCCCATCTGGAGCCGCACACTGAGCTTGTTTCTTGCAGGAGGGTCTCAGTGCTGCCAAGAGGGGGCTAAGAAAGACCCTGCAGGAAGAGGGGCCCTGAGGAAGAGGGGCCCTGAGGAAGAGGGGCCCTGAGGAAGAGGGGCGAGGGCGCTGGCAGAGAGGGCAGCTTGGGGCAGGCACAGCCAGTGGGGAGGGTGTGGCGCCTGGGCTGGCCCGTTACAGAGGTGGGGGAGGGGCTTTGTGGTAGAGGTGTGACCTGGGCATTCCAGAGGCCTGCCCGGCAGTGCAGGGGCTGGGCAGAGTGAGTGCAGGGGAGGCTCTGGGGACCAAGGAGCCACAAACCACTTTGCTTAGTTTGGGGAAGCATCTTAAGCGGCATGAGATGTTTCAGACCCCATCTGTCCCCAGGGACCTCTGTCCTGTGACGGTTCCGTCTAGCCTTCTGTCCGTGCTTCTGTCCAGGAGGCGGCCGTGAGGGCAGCCCTGAGGATGCAGAGGCTGGAAGCGCCAACGCTGGGCTGAGAGCAAGCCTCTGTGCGGGGGCGGGGCGGGGCGGGGCGGGAGCAGAACCCTCCCTCACCTCTGCTCGCTCCGCCTGAAGGCCACTGTGGGCCTGGCCGGCTGGGTGTGAGCCTCCTGCCCTGGGGTTGCTGGCAGGGCTGGGGAAGAACTTGGATGTGACCTGCTGTGCCCAGGAGAGCCGCCCTCCCCCGCCCTGCAATTTGCTGGGTGTCTCCCCTCCTCACACCCGAGTGAGGCAAGCCCTGGGGCTGCACCTCCACCTTGCTCCAGCTCCCTCCCACCCCTTCATCCTCCCTTCTACCTCTTGGTCCTTGGTCCTTCACTGTCTCCGCCTGCCTGTCTCACTGTCACCTCTGTCTGCTCCCCTTCCCTGCTTTGTCTGCCTCTCTTGCACACTCCATCTCTTCCCTGGCCTCTCCCTCCCTCGGACACGCTGGGGACCCTCGGGCTGCCCAGTCGCCTCCTTGCTGACCCGGCTGGTGGCTCTTCCCCTTTCCAGATAGGGCTGGCGGTCGTCCTGGTGTCCACGGTGGTGGCCATGTCGGCCGTGGCCCAGCTGTGGGAGGAGGAGTGGGAGGTGCTGCTGATCTCCCTGCAGGTGAGCTGTGGGGCTGGGTTGCTTCCCCCAAACCCTCAAAAGAAGGCAGCGTCTTTCTATCACTTTCATTGTCTCACACTAAGACCCAGAGGGGCAGGGAGGTCAGAAGCAGGGAGGGCGCTACAGCCAGGGTCCCTGGACTCCCAGTGCCCTCCGAGAGTTCCCTGTCCCGTGGGGATAGGCCATCGGGATGTTGGTGATGAAGGTCTGGTGTGGCTGGGAGTCAGCAGCCCCTCTTGCTCCTCCCACAGGGCACGGCTCCATTCCTGCACATGGGGGCCCTGGCCGCCGTCACCGTGCTCTCCTGGGTCGTGGCAGGACAGTTCGCCCGGGCAGAGCGGTCCTGTAAGTACCCCTGGGCAGGACCTGCCCCCCTTCACCTGGCTGTAACCTGGGTGCCCTGGGAGAGGTAGGGCCCTTGCCCAGTGTGGGGTTCCGCTCAGTGGCCACGCGGGGCTGCAGCCTTAGGCAGCTCTGCCAGCTTCCTCTTCGGCGCCTGTGTCTGTGTGTCTGTGAGTTAGAGGCCGGGGCCACCTTTCCGGCAAGGATGGGGGATGCCCTTAGTTCAGGGTCCCTTCAGAGCATGTGTCATGACAGCGAGGGGAAGAGGGGTCCCCCCACATCCTGCCCAGGGCTCACGGTTGGGCCTGGTTGGAGCCAAACGCTCACCGGGCAGGGCTCGTGGCCTGTGTCTGCAGCCTCCCAGATGGCCATCCTCTGCGCCTTCTTTGCTGTGGTGTTTGCCCTCTACCTGGCCCCCCTCACCATCTCCTCTCCCTGCATCATGGAGAAAAAGGACCTGGGCCCCAAGCCCGCCCTCATTGGCCACCGCGGGGCCCCCATGGTGAGTGCACCCGAGGGTCCTGACAGACGGGGTGGGGTAGGAGAGCAGGGCTGCCATTCTGGGGGTGATAAGCAAAGGCCCATCTCCTTGTAGGAAATGAATATAATACATGTAATATAACAGCAGCAACACTTTTTAGACCCTTTGGGGGTGTATGGGAAGGACTGATGAAAAGTCTGGGGAACTTGGGATCAAGTCCTGAGGTTGTGGGTTAGGAAGGCCCAGAAGACTGCTGGGGGCGGGGTGGACAGCAAGGCCTGCCCGCAGGCTGTGGCCAGGCCGCAGGAGAGGTGGGGTGCAGCTCAGAGCCCACCGCTGCAGGGAAGACCACCACAGCTGCACTGGGTTGAAATGGAGAGAGGAAGGAGTCAAAGGCAGCGACCGCTCCTCTGCGGCCCGTGTCCCTGCAGTAGACCCTTCCCCCGAGGGGCCTACTCCAAAGCCGGTGTCCTCGGCCCCTGGCCGCGGCGGGTGCCAGCTCCTCTCGCGCACCCTGAGACGATGAGCGCCTGAGCCGGAGGCCCGAGGGGCAGGACCTGGGTGTGGAGTGCCCGGCTGAGGCGGGCAGACATCCTGTTATCTTGGGCAGGCCCTCCTCCTCCGGGCCAGGGTCTCCTCACCTTGAACCTGGGTTCTCAACAGAGGCAGCACCATTCCCCACCCCAGTGGGAGCTTGGGGACTTCATGAGAGGTTTGTGGGTTGTCACAATGATTGGGAGTTCATGGTGTTGATTTCAGGGTAGCCAAGGTAGCCTCGGTAACTGAAAAACGGATGTTGAGTCCGCTGGGGCTGCAGATCCCCCTAAGGGCCTCCCCTACTGTGTGCAGTGGGCGTTCTGTTCATTTTCTAGGTAAGACCCAGAGACCTGTGCCCCGAGCCAGATCCTGGGGCCTCCCACCACACCCCGCTCTGGTCACGGCACCTCCTGGAGGAATCCAGCTGGAAAGGCCACGGCTTTGGAGTGGGAGGGGTCTGGAGTGTGGTCCCGGTTTGCCATACGCTGCCTGTGTGTCTCAGGGTCTCCTGTCCCCTGAGGCTCGTGCCCAGAGGGGACAGGAGGATGTAGTGAGAACAGACACAGCATCCTGGGCATCAGGGCTCCTGTTTTCTCCAGGACCCAGATACCCACCCACCTGCTCTGGAGGCCAGGGGACAGGAGGGGGTGTTGGAGGAGGGGAGGAAGGACAAGGGGAAGCAGCAAGGTGGCCCAGCATGGGTGATTTTTAGTGAAACATGAAAGAGGAGTATAGTGAAGAACAGGTAACTAACTCAGTACTTCAGCGTCCATCGTACCACCTCGTCTCATCTCTTCCTGCATTTCTTTTTTTTCTTTTTCTCTTTATTGGTTTTAGAGAGAGAGGAAGGGAGAGAGAGATAGGAACATCGATGAGAGAGAACATCGATTGGCCGCCTCCTGCATGCCCCCCACTGGGGATCAGGCCCACAACCTGGGCATGTGCCCTGACTGGGAATCGAACTGGTGACCTCTTGGTGCCTGGGTCAGCGCTCAACCACACCGGCCGGGCTCTCCCTGCTCCCTGCTTTTCTTTTTCTGCTGTGATATTTTATCTTTTTTTTTTATCCTCAGCCGAGGACATTTTTTCGTTTTTTGTTCAGATGGAGAGAGAGAGAGAAACATCAACGTTAAAGGGACACATCAAGTGGTTGCCACCTGCACCACCCAACCAGGGCTGGGGACAAACTGCAACCGAGGTACATGCCCTTAGCGGGAACCAAACCTGGTCTCTCTGGACCACAGGCCGACGCTCTAACCGCTGAACAAAACTGCCCGGGGCTATTTTATCTTATTTTTTAATCCTCACCCGAGGATGTTTTTACATTTATCTTCAAACAGAGTGGGAGGGAGGGATAGAGAGAAAAAGACATCGATGTGAAAGAGACACATCGATTGGTTGCCACCCGCACAACCCCAACCGGGGCCAGGGACAAAGCACAACTGAGATACATGCCCTTGGCTGGAATCGAACCCGGGACTCTTTGGTCCGCAGTCCGACGCTCTGACTGCTGAGCCAAACCACCCAGGGCTGCTGTGATATTTTAAAGCAAATCTCAGACATCATATCATTATACATCCCAACCAACGTAATAATAATTCTTTAATATTACTGAGTCCATGTTCAGTTTTCCTTTCTTATCTCAAAACTATCTTTTAACAGTTGAGTTCTTGAAAATCAGGCTCCAGAGGGATCCCACCAGGGCATCTGGTTGACATGTCTTCTGAGAACGTTTCAGACTAGAACAACCCCTCCCTTTTTCCCATGTGCTGTTAGTTGTTGAAAGACAGTCATCTGTCCTGTAGAATTTCACACATCGTGCATCGGGCTGATTGAGTTCCTGGGTGTTTGTGAGGGGCTGGCAAAGGCACCCCACGTGTCAATGTCGGGCTGCCCGTGAGCATCGCCTGGGGAGGCTCTTATTCTGGGTCCACACATCTGTGTGTGAGAAACCCAAGTGCATGTCCCTGTCTTGGAGACGGTGTCCATGTGCCCCTGGGTGTCCTTCCTCTGTGTGTGTGTGTGTGTGTATGTGTGTGTGTGCGCGCACGCAATACACTTTAATATTTAGACTAACTCTAAAGCTTGGACTCTTAACCACAGTGGCCTTCCCACTTGAGTTTGTGACACCCCCCCCACACACACACACACTCACTCTTGACAGAACCACACGTGGCTGAACCCAGAGATGGAGATTAAGACGTCACCCCGGAACCCCACGTACTTCTGGGTGCTTCCTGGAGTCCCAGGACTAGCCAGGAAGGGCCAACTTTCCACACCCCTTTCTCTAGGAGGCCAGCACCTAATGCAGGGAGACCTGAGTTTAAAAAAGTTTCCAGAAAGAGACCTTGCCCGTTCCAAACCCTTCCTCTGTGTCTGCCTACAGTCTACCTTCTGCAGCCCCGGCCCAGGCAGGAGAGAGTAAGGTACTTCTTGGGTGGTCGCTCGTGGAGGCCTGGCCACAGGACATTTGGAAAGGAGGCAGGTGGGAAGCCCACGCCTCTCTGGATGCCTCTGGCCCCTCCACCTCTGGGTGAGGCCTCACACAGCCTACCTGACTGGGAGACAGGCAGCACGTGCCCCAAGGCTCCGCACCAGAAAGGGGAAGAAGGAAACTCATGGTACAGAGACCAGTGATGTCTGTTAGCTCACTATGAACTGGGTAACATAAGCCCACTTTATAGCTAAAGAAACTGAGGTTCCAAAAGATGTGTGATGGCCCAGGACTGGGAAATGGAATTGCTCCTTCTCCGCTCCAAAGCCCTTTCCATGCCAGGCTGCCTCGCAGATAAGGGGAGTGTGTTACGTGTTGGGGAACAGCATGGCCAGAGGGAGAGAGAATGGGAATGCGCGTGTCTGCTGGGAATGGGATCAGCCATGGATACCCTTCCCACCTCATCGCTGCAGTGGGGGGGGGGGGGGGGTCAGGGTCCTTCCTCTCCGCTTCCTGGCGCTACTCCTGGTCTCAGCCCCATTCTTGGTATGGTGCTGACCCCCAGTGGCAGCAGTGGGTATGACAGGGTCCTCAGACCAGACAGAAATTAGGGAGACTTAGAACCTTCACTCTCCCAAGTGCAAAGAGCCTCAAAGAACAGTGGATGTACTTTCTCAAGAGATAAATGGGGAAACTGAGGTCTATAGGAGAAAGAGATGCACCCAAGGTCACAAAGCTGGTTAATGGTAGAGTCAGCTAGAACCATGCTCTTCTGGTGTGTCTGCTATAGGGCTAGGAGTTGTCATTATTAAGCTGTCATTACGTACTGTATATCAGGCAACGTGCTAGGGGCTTCTAATCCATGGAACAGACCTGGAGATGGTCTTATCATTTTCTGTACAGATGAGGAGACTGGTCACCCTGTGAAACTGCCTCCAACTACCCTCTCCTCTCGCTCCGGGATCTCTATCCACCTAGACTTGGGAAAACGTGGCATTCAGCCCCAGCCAAGACTGTCATAGGGCAGAGGACTGCAGAAAAGCCTTCCCACCCCATATCTGTGTACATCAACACCAAGCACCCCAAAAGCCTGAGAGGCAGGCATGATTTAACAGATGGGGAAACTGAGCTTCAGGGACGGTGTGTGGTGCCCAGGTCACACAGCTATTGCTTGAGGAGGTAGAATCAGAACCAGGCCCAACATGGAAGACTTTCCATGACTGGGGAGGTGTACATCGCTAAATCAGCTCTCCCCTCACCACCCCTTTTCCCGGCAGCTGGCCCCAGAGCACACGCTGATGTCATTCCGGAAGGCCCTGGAACAGAGGCTGTATGGGTTACAAGCTGATGTCACCATCAGGTAGGCAATGGGGCTGGGAGACTGGTCCCACCCCCACCCCCACCCCCACCGCACCCACATCCGGTCTCTGTTGGAGAAACTGCAGGTCCCAGAACCTCAGGATGGGAGGGCAGAGAGGGCAGGCACCCTGTTCGTGACAATAAATCTTGTGCCAAACTCCAGGGTATAAAATAGAGGAAAGAACAGAGGCTCTTGGTTCAAGCAGGGCTGGGGGTTGGGAACTGGAGTCCTGCCACAGAGCCACTTGGAGGACAGACTGGATCGTGTGAAGGGCTGGATCGCAGACAGATGGAGCGCAGACACAGTGGAAGGAGCTCACGGCAGTGGCAGTCACTGTGCCGTCAGTTACACTGTAAAGACCGCATTCAGGTGGCTTACAGCTTTTCTACGCTAGACGTATGTGTTGTCAGTACAAAGGGCAGGACGAACCCACACCCGACGTAACAGATGTCCCTGGGAAGGCGCGAGGGGCAGGGCAGCCACGCAGCCGCACTGGCTGTGTACTGAACAAGGCCCGCTGAAGCGAGAACACCTTCCCGGTGCAGACGCCCTAAAATTATACGTATCAGAACTTTCTAGTAGATGGTGGTAGAACGCCTGAGGAGGGGGACATGGGAGCCTGGTACTGTCTCACTGAGGCACCATTAGGCTTAGGCCGCAGCAGTGGGGTAGAGCAGGACGTGGGGGTGGCATGGGTCGAAGGGGCCTGCATTTGCTGTTCTCATTATGGCATCGCACAGACTGGGTTCTAAGCCAGGTTCCACCACTTACTGGCTGTGGTCCTTGAACTAGGTACTTCCCTCTCCCAGCCTCAGTTTCCCCATTATCAAATGAGGGAGCCCCTCCCTTCCAAAGTAGCTAATAGGCTCAGCCCTCCCTCTCCGGCAGCCCCCGCCCCCCAACTGACCCTCGTAGAGAACTAGGAGTCATCGCCCACCAGCGCTCTGCCTTCCCTGTGCAGATGGGGAAGCGGAGGCCGAGGGGGCGGGGCCTGCCGGTCCCGTGTGGGTTGGTGTAAGTGGGTGGGCAGTGACGCGCTGGCCCTCTCCTGCAGCCTGGATGGCGTGCCCTTCCTCATGCACGACACCACCCTGCGGCGCACCACCAACGTGGAGGAGGAGTTCCCGGAACTCGCCCGCAGGCCCGCCTCCATGCTCAACTGGACTGTCCTGCAGAGACTCAATGCTGGCCAGTGGTTCCTGAAGGTCCGGTGGCACCTGCCCCAGTCGTGGGCGCGGAAAGCATGGGCGGGGACCCCACGCGGTGAGAGGGCAAGGCAGCCATCAGCTCAGGGGACCCCACTCCCCATGCTTCCCTCACAGCGGGGCTGTGGCCTCCTTGGGCTCCTGCCACTGCAGCTGTAATACCATGGTTGTCATTGTTTGTACTGGTCTGTCCCCCGCGCCAGAAAAAGCGGAGGGGATAATAGTTAATAGTTAAGATGGTCAACGCTGTGAAGCTCAGTAGAGGGAAGTTGGTTCTCTGGTCTGAGCTGTTACTAGAGGAGAAGTGTGCTGGGGTCTGGGAGACATTCCAAGCAAATAATCCTGGTAAGGGGCAGAGACGTTGCGGTCAGGGTCTCCCGAGCCCCAGGGGCCCCACATCAGACACTGGCAGCTCAGGGGTCTCCCTGCTCCGTAGCCAGGTGGGCACGTGAAAGCCCCTGAAGGGCCGGTGAGGCAGCCATGTGTGTCCTTGTCTCCGCCAGACGGACCCCTTCTGGACGGCCAGCTCCCTGTCACCCTCCGACCACAGGGAGGTCCAGAACCAGTCCATCTGCAGCCTGGCGGAGCTCCTGGAGTTGGCCAAGGGCAATGCCACACTGCTGCTCAACCTGCACGACCCTCCTCGGGAGCATCCCTACCGTGCCAGCTTCCTCAACATCACGCTGGAGGCCTTGCTGCGCTCCGGCTTCCCCCAGCACCAGGTGAGGCCTGGCAGCCCAGCCCACTGCCTCCAGCTGCCAGGCCCGGCTGGAGGATGCCAGCATAACCCGCCGTGTCCCCTCCAGACCTCAGCTTCCACATCTGTGAAATGGAGGTCGCTTGCCCCTCACGTCCCCAATGGGGTATCATAAGACAACAGGGGAAGAAGAAAGTCTTTAAAAATGTACAAAGAACAGGAGCAAGTCCAGGTTCTCCGAAACACTGTTACTTCCCTGAAGCATTACCCACATTCTTGTGGTGTTAACACTGGAGACGGGAGGAACCCCACACCAACCTAGGATGCACACTGGATGCCGGTGGCCCGCGCAGAATCACTGACCTTCGGGTTATCATCTTGATCATGATAAGGGTCTAGAGGGGAAGCTCCCTGGGTTGTTGCCAAAGCCACTCACAGCCTCGGCTGGAACCAAGTCCTCCCGATTACAATGATTATGTGTAAGCTTTCACTGTGCCAGGTCCTCTCTTTTAAGCCTTCCAGGTGCTTTAGGAGGGGCAGACGTTAAACCCATTTCATAGATGAGAAATCTGAGGCGGCCCCCTCTCTGCCTGCAGGTCATGTGGCTGCCCAACAGGCAGAGACCCTTTGTACGGAAGGTGGCTCCTGGCTTCCAGCAGACGTCAGGCTCCAAAGAGGCAGCTAGCAGCCTGCGGAGAGGTCACATCCAGTGGCTGAACCTGCGCTACACTCAGGTGTCCCACCAGGAGCTCAGGTGCCCGCCCCACCAGTTCAGCGCACCCAGAGGGGGACTGAGTTCCTCCACCCTGCCACGCTCGCTCGCGTGCACACACATCTGGGCAGTGGCGAGAAGCACAGGGGCTTCTGGTTAAAAGAGGAGGCGTCGGGAGCACACGGCAGACATGGGTTGTCTCTGAGCTGGGCCCCCCAGGAGGGAGATTCCTTCCTTGGGACAGTGGTGAGGGTCGCATCACGCTCTCCAGGCTTCCCAGAGTACCAGACTCGCGGCTGACCAGCCCCTCCCCTCCCCACAGGGACTATGCGTCCTGGAACCTGAGTGTGAACCTCTACACGGTCAACACGCCGTGGCTCTTCTCCCTGCTGTGGTGCATGGGGGTCCCGTCTGTCACCTCCGACAACGCCCACACCCTGTCCCGGGTGCCTTCCCCCCTCTGGATCATGGTGAGTGGGGGACTGTTGGGGGACACAGGGTACCTGGAGAGAGCAGGGAGCTGCCTATGGCACCCAGGGGGTGCAGACTCCACACCTGGGGCTCTCTGGTGAGGCCTCAGGCTGGGAGGAGCCCACAGAGAAGACTCAAGGCTCCTGGGGTCTGCACCGAGGTGCTGGGAGACGGGAGGAACCTGGGCCTCACCCACAGGCAGGACACATCACTGAAGGCCCCCAGAGAACCAGTGAACAGCCACTTGGCCTGTTTGGCTTGGGATGTAGTTTATTGTATTTTGTTTTAAAGGAAGGGAAGGCACTATAAAAAGTGGGTAACAGGGCAAGAACAGGGAACATTACAATCTCTCAGCAGTGACAGTGAATGAAACCGGTTCTCGGTTGCCGGAGCACCTGCCGCTGGGCTGCGGGGAGCCCTGATCTCCCTCGGGTGCTCACTGCCACCTCTCTGAGAAGGCGAAAGGCAGATGGAGGGTCTCCTCATGCCCAAGACAGTGCCAGGGTCCGTGAGTGAGGTCTAGGTCACGGTCGTCAAGCCATCCACCTGCCCACTGTCCTGTGAGACCTCTGAGGGTCAGCCCCTAACGAGCCGGCATAGCACTGGCAGCAGCGGCGATGAGCACACTCGAATTCTGGGGTCACAACAGAATTGTGGCCAACAGCAAGAGCCCTCACCCTGCTCGGTTCACCTGAGGTCCAGGTCTGCCCTCCGGGCCCCTCTCCACTGTCCCTGGGGGAAGCCCCCATGGCCCACACCCTACAGTGACCCACGTGTTCACACCCCCAGGGATGCCACACAACTGCACACCTGCAAGTCGGTTCCCTCTCACACTCACCTGTCTGTCTTTCCTTATTCGCCTCTTGTCTGGAGCCCCCGTAAGCACACAGACCCTCCAGGCTTAACACCAACCACCTCTACCCTGACCACCACACAGATCTTTAACCCTGTACACACACACACACACACACACACACACACACTCAGGCCCACAGCCCACACCTCCAGGTCCTCCCCTGCCCACAGGCCCTCACCCTGGAGCCCGGTGTGGACCAGCCATGACAAGCTGGCCGCGGGCCCTCTGTCCACAGCCCCCGGACGAGTACTGCCTCATGTGGGTCACCGCGGACCTGATCTCCTTCACCCTCATCATTGGCATCTTCGTGCTCCAGAAGTGAGTAGGCTCTGACCACCTTCCTCGGCCTCCCCTGCCCCAAGGCAGACCCGGCTCCCACCCCAGCCAGGTGCCCCTCCTCCTGAGCTCTGGGCCAGGAGGCCTGCCAGATGGCCTGTGTGGGGGGGACCCCTAGTGACCCCCAGCCTGCCCCCTCAGCCAGAGCTGGCAGCTTCTGGAATAAGCACCCAGCTGGGAGCCCAGAGCCAACCTCTGCCCTGATTCGCTGTGTGGACTAGGGCGCAGTGCAGCTCCTCCGGGCTCGTCTCCCCACCGGGTGCCGAGGCCAGGGTTCCCACACACTCAGCGTGCAGCTGTGCTGCAGCCCTTCCGCCCCTCAGACAGCGGCTGGGACTGTGGTTGCACTGGGGAGGCGAGGGTGGCCCAGGGGTCCCAACCAGCCATGAACCACGGGGAAGGGGTTTTACTCTTGACTGACGTTCTCTCTCTGTCCCATACTGCTCTGACCCGGCGCATGTCCCTCCTCTCTCTTCCCCACCTCCCCCTCTGCTGCACTCTGGTACCTCACAGCTATCACTTGATCAGGTAATTCTGGTGTGGTCTTCTCCCCGTTCTTTTCTCCCTCTCCTTGCCACCCTTTCTCTGGCTCCTCTGGACACCTGCACTGAGCCCGGTGCCTGGCTCAGGCTCCCTCCCAGCCGCCTCCCTCGCCTGAGCCTCCTCCCCCGGCACCCTCCCTTCTCCTCCCATCTTGCTGTGTGTGCCCCTCTGCTCTGCTCCTCCTGCTGTTTCTGCAGGTGGGAACCAGTGCTTCCGTGTAGGCTGCTGCCCTGGCCTCAGCACCAACGCATCTTCCTCTGAGGAGAGGGCTCTGCCTGGGCCCCGGGCCACTTACAGGGCCTGCCCACTGCCCGGAGCCTACCCTGCTGAGCTCCATCTCTCCCTGTCTCTCCCTTCTCGTCTGTTGCCTTTCCCATCACTCATTCTCCCTTGACCTTTCTCTGAGTCTCTCTCATCTTTTTCACTTTGTCTCCGATTCCCCCATACAGTGTCTCCCGCCTTCCCTGGGGAGGGCCCCGCCGTGGTTGAGCTTCCTGTCCTGGATGTGCCAGGCTGCAGAAACTCTGGCCTGGCACTGTCCTTCTGGGGTGAACGTTTATTTCCAAGATGAGACTTAGGTCTCGGGGATCCAAGTACTCCTTGGTCAAGCGGCTTCACCGACCAGCTTCTAGGAGAAACTGCACCCCGGGGACTGAGCCCAGCAAAGATACGGTCACCCAGTCCCTCCATTCTCGCCGCCAGCAGACGCCCTCACGGCGGTCAGGCCTTCACGTGCGAAGCCCCAGTGTGCTGGGGGGCTGGCCCGTGATGGCCCAGGTGCTGGAACAGACATGCTGAGCCCGCTCAGCATACAGCCAGGGCGGTGGCATTGTCTTCCCGGGGGTCAGGAAAGACCTGAGAAGGGGACCCTGGCACAGAGATCATGTCCTCATTCCTCCATCATCCACTCAAGTACTTAGGGCCCCTCGCCGCACACAGCAGGCACTGAGGTTGGTGCCAGGGACACAGCAATCAATGAGAGACCCAAGTGCTGCCCTCAAGGACGTGTAGGGTGCTAGCCCAGCCAGCGCGCAGGCTGCCTTCCCCTCTGCCTCCTGCTTTGCCCTTGTCTGTCTGCTCTGTTCATCCACCGTCTGCCTGTCCGTGTCTGTCCATTGCAGCTGCACTGACCCCATCTGGAAACAACTGATGTCTTGTGGAGTCTGGGCTCCCTTCATCCACCCCAGGAGGGCTCAGTGCCCTGGGGGGTTGGGTTGTTTCCAAGCTGACCCCCACTTCATTGGTGGGAGTGGGAATGGGGGGTCCGGTGAATCCTGTCCAGGTCACAGGGAAAATCTTAAGTTCAGAGGCCAGGGATGCGGGGCTAGTTCAGAGGAACGACAACAGGAGAACAGTGCCTGGCTCTCCCCGGGGCCTGCATGCCCTGGGCAGCCCCACCGCTCGGCCCACTTGCTTAACTTTACCCCAGTCCTGGCCTTGCCCCTGCCTCGGCCATCAGAGGGACCGACACCTCGGCCTGACCTCCCCATCCGGTCACTGGAACGGAGTAGCGGCAGACCCCGCCCCACGTCACTCTAATGCCCTTGGCCCTGAACCCGTGCAGACTGGGTCTGAGCAAAGCCTCTGCCATCTCGCCTCACCACTCTGCTTTCCTCTGGGGCTCCCCTGGCTTCACTCAGCCTGGTCACGACAGTGGGGCTGCAGGAGACACCAGCGGGGACTCCCCAGGACTGGGGACCCCAGGGTGGGTCCTCAGGGTCAGGTCAGCTAAGCCCTCCCCTGCCCCAAAGAGAGCCAGGTGCCTACTGGGAGCATCTGAGACAGAACCAACCAACTCCCCAACACACACGTCTTCCTGGGCAAGGGGAGCTGCCCTGGGCTTCTGGAGCTCAGGGGAGAGCCCTGGCTGAGTAGCGGACTGACTCCAGCTCTGCCCCTCGCGGGCCCCACTTCTCTAGTCAGTCAAGAGCCCTCTGGTCTCTCGGGCCAAAGCCAGAGATGCCCTGGAAGTGGGCAGGATCCCTGCTCCAGGGAAGGGCCTGATGCCCACGGGACCATCTCTGCAGGTGGCGCCTGGGTGGCATACGGAGCTACAACCCCGAACAGATCATGCTGAGCGCAGCGGTGCACCGGACCAGCCGGGATGTCAGCATCATGAAGGAGAAACTCATCTTCTCAGGTAGGCAGCCCACCGGCAGGCCGCGACAGGCCTGGGCTCAGCTCTCTGCCCATGCGCACACATACATTCACACAGTACGTACAGGCCGCGACAGGCCTGGGCTCAGCTCTCTGCCCATGCGCACACATACATTCACACAGCACGTACAGGCCGCGACAGGCCTGGGCTCAGCTCTCTGGCCATGTGCACACATACATTCACACAGCACGTACAGGCCGCGACAGGCCTGGGCTCAGCTCTCTGCCCACGCGCACACATACATTCACACAGCACGTACAGGCCGCGACAGGCCTGGGCTCAGCTCTCTGCCCATGCGCACACATACATTCACACAGCACGTACAGGGCCGCGACAGGCATGGGCTCAGCTCTCTGCCCGATGCGCACACATACATTCAACACACAACGTACAGGCCACAACCGGCCTGGGCTCAGCTCTCTGCCCTAGCGGGCACACACATACATTCACACAGCACGTACAGGCCGCGACAGGCCTGGGCTCAGCTCTCTGCCCATGCACACACATACATTCACACAACACGTACAGGCCACGACAGGCCTGGGCTCAGCTCTCTGCCCATGCACACACATACATTCACACAGCACGTACAGGCCGGGGAACGGCCTGGGCTCAGCTCTCTGCCCATGCGCACACATACATTCACACAGCACGTACAGGCCGGGGCACGGCCTGGGCTCAGCTCTCTGCCCATGCGCACACATACATTCACACAGCACGTACAGGCCGGGGCACGGCCCGGACATGCGGGTGCCCACACACGTACAGGCACACATTCACACCCCCCATAGGCAGCCGTGCCAGCCCCGTGGGTGGTGGGCAGGGTGGCACGCAGGAGTGGGATGAGGGGAAGAGTCTGCTTTGAAGGCCTATCCCCCTTTGCCCAGTTCACATAGGGGCCCCAAACATTGACCTCATCCCTGTCGCTGCCAGCCCACTGACTCCGTCTGATGGAGGCGGCAGCTCCATGAGCAAGAACACGGGAAACTGGGTGTCACTAGAGCTCTAACAGATGAGGGTGCTGAACCAGAATGGGGTACAGAGATGGTGAGGGCGGTTAGAGCTCCCTGGGGCAGCGAGGGGGGTCCTGGGAGTGGGGTTGAGGTCAGGGTGAGCGGAGGGAGGGAAGGAAGGGCGCCCCAGCCGGGAGCAGTGTGCCCAGAGGCAGTGAGGGAGCGGCGCCCAGAACTGAATACTGTTCCACAGGGCTTGAGGGGAGGGGCCTTTGGCTGGTTCACCCCGAGAGCGTGCGTGGGGTGGGGGTGCAGAGGTTCTTGGGCTTCAGCCTGAAAGCAGAGGGCTGCAGACGGGCTTTCCTGAGCTGTTCTGCAGCAGAGCTGGACCAAGTACCACCACGTGGGCGGCTCACATGTCAGGGGTTTGCTGCTTCTCACTCCGGAGGGGCTGTGAGGGCAGAGCCGGTCCAGGCCTCTCCCCTGGGCTCACGGGGCCGTCCTCCCCTTCACGCATTCCTGAGGCATGCAGCGCAGTAGTGCACGGGAGGGTTATACAGTATTTCCGGAGATCCCAGCTCTATTCCCAACTAGCCGTGTGAACCGGAACACTGTCCACCCTCCCTCAGCATCAGACTCCTTGTCTGGAAAATGGGCTAGTAACCCCCAAGGGCACTTCTGAGGGTTACTGCCATGCCGGCCGGAGGGGCACTTGGTAAACACTGCCCGAGTGAGAGCCCAGTGGGGGTGACTAGTTTAGGTGGGGCTGGCTCCAAGGATCGAGTGAGCGTCTCACTGTTCACTCTTTTACTATTCATTCCTCTAACAGGTGAATGCCAGGCACTGTTTCAGGGTTTAGGGTACACAGATTCTTGCTTACCTTTGCTCAAAAACCTCCTCCTGGGGAGCCTTCCCAGGGCATTGTGCCCGGCCGGTTCTGCCCGTCCAGACCCCCGCCTCTCCTGTAGTGCCAACGACCGTGCACTGAGCACTATGGGTGCGAGCCTGAGGACTCAGCCACAGTCCTCGCCCCTTGCCCACTCCAGGTGGAGAGCCCTCACCCCCACCCCAAGGAACCTCGGGTCCCCTGAGGGTGGGCTCAGCTCCACTCAGGAGGTCCTTCCGGGCCTCTGCTGTGTCCAGCACTGTGCCAGGCACTGGGGACACAGATGCCCAGACGTTACCCCTACCCCTGAAGTACTCCAGACAGTGGGGGCCACAGACAGTGACAGTACAGGATGTGGTGGGGAAGTGGGGGTGCGGTGGTTACGAGGAGGTCCTAGTCCAGCCAGGAGAGGCTTTCAGGAAGCGGCAATAACAGAGATGCGAAGAATGAGCCAGATTTTAAGGAACAGTATTGATGGGGACGTCACTCCCAGGAGGGGGTCCAGTATGTGCAAAGGCCCTGAGGGGAGATAAACACATGGGTGCCAAGCTCAGGAGGATGCAGATGGTTTTCTGTGGCTAGAAGGAAGAGTTCCAGGGGAGAGTAGACACCAAGGAGAACCTTGAATACCAAGCTCAGTACAAAACCTGAACCCAGTGGTCTCATCAGCCTCCGAGTGCCTGACTAGGAGTCACCGCGGACCCTTCCCACAGTATCTTCTTGCCATCCTCATTGACCCCGCTCCTGCCCCTACTCATATTCTGCCTCCTCTGGCCCCACAGAGATCAGCGACGGCATGGAGGTCTCTGACGAGTTCTCTGTATGTTCAGACAGCAGTTGTGACACATACGCCAACAGCGCCACCACCCCAGTGAACCCCCGAGGGACTGGCAGCCGTGCCAAGACCCTCAGGGACCGGAGTGGCCGTTAGCTGGAGACTTCTCCCCAGGCTGTGCCTAATGCAGAGACCAGGGAACCCAGAAGAGCTGGCAGAAGCCTGTCTGGACGTGGAGTGCTCTGGGAGCGGGCTCCACCCCTTGTCCGCCATGGCCTCTCTTGCAGGGGACTCCTCTCTCCCGAGGCCCAGCTGGGCCAGGACTCCAGCCTCTCAGATGCCCCTGCAGGCCTGGGGATCCTTCTTCTGAGAAGTGCGGGGCCTGAGCCCTGGTCTTCCCTTGCACCTCGACCTGGAAGCTTTGATGGGTCACCGGGCCACACCTTACCCCGTGACCATCCTCCTGTTCGTGCTGTGAGGCAGCCAACTTTTCCATGTTCCTCCTGCCTTGAGGACCTGGAGCTGGGCCTCTGCCCCCAGCAGCTCTACTCTTCACGTCAGTCTCAAAGCACAAGGAGATCCCGCCCAGGAGGAGAGGCTGCTGCAGTGGGAGACACTCCTTCCGGCCAGCCTCCCGCTACCCGTGGCCCTGCCCCCGGAGAGCAGCTGGGAATGGCCAGAAGAGCAGGCTCAGGGCTGCTCAGCCCCTAACCCAGGTGTCCAACAGGCCTCCAGGGCAGAGTGGCCACAGACTGACACGACCTCAGTGGCCACAGGGCAGGGGCCACCTGGGGTGGGCATGTGGCCAAGGTGATTAAAGCTGCCATCTTGACATGTCATTTCTGAATTGTCTGTGGAAGGATGGGGACCAAACTTACTGGGTTTGGGGACCAGTATCCCCATACTGAGGTGGGGGAGACGGTCTTGGAGAGGTAAAGTGACCGTCCAAGGCCACAAAGAACACACAGCACCAGAATCCCACCCGGGCTCTTGCCCCAGAGTGTGCGCATGTTCTGTAGCCAGCCGGGAACAGCGTGGAAGGTGGGGAGGGCTCCTGGGTCCGACACGGGGGCGGGCATGGGGCTGAGAGCCCTTCACAGCCACGTGGAGGTTCCGGTTCCTGAGCTCCCTGGCCTGTGCAGTGACAGACCTGCAGCCAGGAGATGGCGCTCCGCCATGGCAGAGGTTTGGCTTGGACTCCGCAAGGCTTCGGACTTGACCAGAGCGGGCCCACCCCATTCCTGGCACGCTGGGGTGTCTGGGCTGTAAGCCCCAATAGAGCCAACAGATGTCCCTTCCTGTCTCTCAGTCCTTGGACCTCTGCCCTCCACAAGGGGTCAGCAGTGGAGTCAGGGCCGGTCTGTCACTCCTACCTTTGTCCGAAGCGTCTGTATGACCCTGGGTGTGTCCGAAAGGAGGAAGGGGGGAAGCTGAGCCCCAGCACCAGCCTGTATTAAATAAACATGGTGCTTTCTGGGAACCGAGGGATGTGTATTTTCTCCAAATGGGTTCTTCTAGGTAGAATTCTTGGGGTCTGAGTGATTCTGCCATCTTCTTGGAGGAAAGGAAGAGAAACCCATCCCAAACGCTGGAGCCAGGCTGGGCCTCCCACTTCAACTTCCAGGACTGCCCCTCAGGACTGTGAAGGACACACGCTCCTTCCCCTCTGCTGAACGTCTGCCAGGGGCCTACCCTTCCTGGGCAGTGGTCAGCTCCCACCTCTCCTGGGCACAAAGGAGTATGAGTAAAACCTGGAACAGCTGTGTCAGGAGTGGGGGTTCACTGCCCTACCCTAAATGCCCAACAGCCTGCTCTCCAGCCTCTGGCTGGCCCACCAGGAAAGTGGATTTGATCCTTCAGGCCAGCTCCTTCCTGGCCGGACGTGGGCAACGTGAGACCGCCTGGAGTTTTCAGGAGGGGTGAAGCAGGCTGGGAGTTCCGTGTGGAACAGCCACACCCCTCACCAGAGCCCACTCCCCTATGCAGAGGCAGCTCCGCTTCCTCCCTTACCCCACACAATGGAGCGAGGATGGAAGACAGCTCCCACCGGGGCAGACGGCGGGCCTGTCTCCATCCTCAGCTGAGCCCTCAGCTGAGCCCTCAGCCCGTGGTCAACCCTGGCTCCCATTCCTGACCTGAGGAGTTACTGAGAACGCCACCTTCCTGATGGCCTCCCCTTGTCTGCAGAGGGCAGCCTGGCTGCCCATTCAAAGGGAAGAGGAAGTGGGCCCCCTCCCCTTCCACTCCCCATAGACCTGCTCTGTCCTCCTTCCCTCGGAACACAGTGGGTAAGGACTCCCCCAGGCTGAGCCCACCCTCCATGAACTCTCGGCCCCTCCTTCCTAAGTGTGGATATAGAGGTGCCTCAACCTAGTGGTCTAAGATGGCAGTGACATGGGAAGACGCTGAACCCATCCATGAACAAAATCAAGCATACACGAAGAGAGCGAGCAATTACTCCAAGACAAATGAGGACTGAATGAACGCCTTCTAAATATGAGAAAGAGGGCGAACAGAGAAGGCTGGGAAGCCATGGGGGCTCTCCAGAACCCACACGACTACTCTGGGGCTGGGGGCCAAGTGAACACGACTGACATCCCCCTCCACCTCCACAGTGTAGATGGGGGCTCTGTCCAGGTTCTCTGGTCTACCTGCAAGGTTGCTGCAGTGAGTTCCCAGACACATCACCTGAGCCCATTTTGGCTCCACACAAAGGGAGCAAGCAGGATCAACAGGACAGTACTGTACACACGTGGCCTCCTCACCTGGAGCAGCTCTGGGCTGGCCAGTGCCCGTATACCTTAGCCTCTGCTTAGCTCCTACAGCCTGCCAGAACCACCTGACACAGTATACACAGAGCCTGGCTTCTACATAAGTCATAAGTCCACTTTTTCAAGATGAAGAGACTCATATAAACACATATGGAAAGTCAAACAAAATAAAGAGACAGCGTGTCTCTCAAATGAAGGCACAAGAAAAATCTAAATTAACCAATGGCACTCCAATAAATTAAACAAAAAAATAAAATTAATAAAAATACCTTAAGGAAACAGAGATAAGTTATTTGCCTGATAAAAATTCAAAGTAGCAGTCATAAGGACACTCACTAAACTTGGGAGTGAACTAGAAGAATTTAGGGAGAACTTCCATGGAGAGTCAGAAAGTATAATAAATAACCAAGCAGAACTAAAGAATACAATGACAAATGAAAAACACATCAGAAGGAATCAACAACAGATTATCTAATACAGAACAGGTAATTGACCTATAAGATAGACTAGTGGAAATCAACCAATCAGAACAGCAACAACAAAAAAAAAAATTTTAAATACGGAATAGTTAAAGGGACCTCTGCAGTAATATCAAATGTTCAAACAGAGGCATAAAGAAAGGAACAAAAACTTGATTTAAACAAATAATGGCTGAAAACTTTCCTAATCTAGGGAAGGAAACAGACATCCAGGTTCCAGGAAGCAAAGACAGTTCCAAATAAAATGAACCCAAAATGCTCCACACCAAGACACAGTAATTAAACTGGTGAAAGTAAAAGGCAGAGAGACAATCTGAAGGAATCACAGACAACGATGAGTTATAGGACAAGGGAAACACCATACACCTTCAGCTGATTTCTCAGCAGCAACTTTACAGGCCAGAAGGGAGTGGCAGAACATCTTGAAAGTGCTGAAAAAAAGGAACTACAACCTAGAATTATTTACACAGCAAGGTTATCATTCAGAATTAAAGGAGAAAGAGTTTCTCATGTAAGTAAAAACTAAAGGAGCTCATCACAATTAAACCAGTTTTATAAGAAATGTTAAAGGGTCTTCTTTAAACAGAAAAGGAAAGGCTATATCAGAAATAAAATATGAGAAAGGGAAAAATCTCACAGGTTACGGCAAATGTTTAAAAATACAGTGAATGAGCCCGGCCGGTGTGGCTTAGTGGTTGAGTGTCGACCCATGCACCAAGAGGTCACCGGTTAGATTCCCAGCCAGGGCACATGCCCAGGTTGTTGGCCAAACCCCCAGTGGGGAGCATGCAGGAGGAGGCCAGTTGATGTTCTCTCTCATCGATATTTCCATCTCTTTCTCCCTCTCCCTTCCTCTCTCTCTAAAATCAATAAAGAAAATAAATAAATAGATAAATAAATAAATAAAATACAGTGAATAAGACATCTAAAAAGCTACTACAAATGTCAAAAGTAAAAGTATCAAACTACAATACATAGTTAGGAGATACACAATTCAAAAAGATCTAAAACAGCCCTGGCTGGTTTTGCTCAGTGGTTAGAGTGTCGACCCACAGACTGGGGAGTCTGGGGTTCTGTTTCTGCTAAGGGCACATACCTCAGTTGTGGTTTGTCCCCGGCCCTGGTTGGGGTTGTGTGGGTGGCAACCACTCGATGTGTCTCTCTCACATCGATGTTTCTCTCTCTCTTCCTCCCTCCGGCTCTACCTGAAGATAAATGCAAAAATGTCCTCGGGTGAAGATAAAAAAAAAAGACCTAAACATAACATCAAAAACATAAACCATCCCCAGTCGTGTGGCTCATTGGTTGAGCATCAGCCCATGCACCAGAAGGTCCCTGGTTCAATTACCGGTCGGGGCACATGCCTGGGTTGCGAGCTCGATCCCCAGTGGGGGGTGTGCAGGAGGCAGCCTATTGAAGTTGATGTTTCTCTCTCAGAGATGTTTCTATCTCTCTCTCCCTCTCCCTTACTCTCCAAAATCAATAAAAACAAATAAAGAAAACATAAACCATAGAAGGGGTTGTAAAAATGTAGTCCTTATAAAATATACTTAAACTTAAATGCCTGTAAGCTTGCCCGGCTGGTGTGGCTCAGTGACTGAGCACTGACCCATGCACCAAGAGGTCACTGGCTCGATTCCCGGTCAGGGCACACGCCCAGGTTGTGGGCCTGATCCTCAGTAGGGGGCATGCAGGAGGCAGCCAGTCGATATTCTCTCTCATCAATGTTTCTATCTCTCTCTCTCTCTCTCCCTTCCTTTCTCTCTCTAAAAGCAATAAGGAAAAAAAATTTAAATGCCTATAAGCTTAAAATAGACTGCTGTGGATATAGAATGATATACATAAACCTCATGGTAGCCACAAACCAAAAACCTACAAAATATATACAAAAAACAAAGAGAAAAGAATCTAAACAAAATACTAAAGAAAAACAGCAAACCACAGGGAAGAAGGAACAGAGGACTATAAAAACAACCAAAAAACCATTAACAAAATGGCAATAAGTATATATGTATCAATTACTTTGGATGTAAATGATCCAATAAAAAAGACATAGGATGGCTGAATGGATTAAAAAACATGACCCTGCCCTGGCTGATTTGGCTCAGCAGTTAGAATGTTGGGCCCTTAGACCAAAGTGTCACGGGTTTGATTCATTCAGGTCAAGGGCACGTATCTGGGTTGCGGGTTTGATCCCTGGCCTTGGTCAGAGTTGTGCAGGAAGCAACTGGTCAATGTGTCTCTCTCACATCGATGTCTCTTTCTCTCTCCCCACCCTCTCTTCCACTCTCTCTAAAATTCAATGGAAAAATATCCTGGGGTGAGGATTAACAACAACAAAAAAACCTAAAAACATGATCCATCTATATGCTGCTTACAAAAGACTCACTTCAAAAGACACATTGAGACTGAAAGTGAAATCAATAAGGAAACAGTGGCTTTAAATGACAATTAGACCAGATTAACTTAGTATTTTTTAAACATTTCATCCAAAAGCAGCAGAATATACATTTTTTTCAAGTGCGCATGGAACATTTTCCAGGACAGACCATATGTCAGGCCACAAAACAAGTCTCAACAAATTTAGGAAAACTGAAGTTATATAAGGAATCTTCTCTGATCACAATGGTATGAAACTGGAAATCAATTACAAGAAGAAAACTGAAAAACACAAACATGTGGAGGCTAGATAACATACTAAACAATGAATGAGTTAGCAACGATATCAAGGAATAAATGAAAAGATACTTTGAGCTAAATGAAAATACAATGACCCAAAACATATGGGTCACACCTAAAGCAGTCCCAAGAGAGAAATTCATAACAATAAAGGCCTACCCCAAGAAACAAGAAAAATCTCAAGTAAACAATATAAACTTACACCTAAAGAAATACGGAAAAAAAACAAGCAAAGCCCAAAGTGAGTAGAAGAAAGTAAATAATAAAGATCAGAATGGAAATTTTTAAAAAGAGGCTACAAGTAAAAAAGATCAGTGAAACCAAGAGCTGGTTCTTTGAAAAGATAACCAAAATTAATAAACCTCTAGTCAGACTCATGAAGAAAAAAACAGAAAGGGCCCAAATCAATAAAATCAGAAATGAAAGAAAAGTGACAACTGAACCATAGAAATACAAAGGCTTGTAAGAAAATACTACAGTCATAAGCCAACAAATTAGACAACCTGAAAGAAATGGACAAATTCCTAGAAACATATACTTTTCCAAGACTGAATG